TGGTTTGTAATCTAAAATGACTGAAAATTGCAAATTTCGCAAGGCTATATTTTCCGCATTTTACAACATTTTGCAACGAAACTTTGGAATATTACTAATTTTGTGATGCTCTTTCAAGCTGTAATGAAATTTTTGTTGAGATCAAAATTTAGTCTATTACGCAAATGGTCAATTATTTGACATAAAATCTATATTTAACGACTATTTATGCTATAAATAGCCGCAACGTCACTCTCTGCCTGTGGATGGGATAACTTTTGCGTGCGTGGTTTAATAAAAGGCAACAACATTTGAACAACCATCGAGAAAGACGAATTATCTGGAAATATCAGGAAATTAGCCATTCTCACGTGCACGCCTCCATTTTTGGGTGGCTTTTCAGCCGAAATCTGCGAGAAAAGTCCACATAACAGCGACTTTTTATAATTTTTTGGACGAATGATGGTAAATTTGCTTTGTAAATGGTTAGTTGATTTTCACATTGTTTTAATTGTCTGCATTGGTTAACGAGAATTTGTTGCCACCCAAAAATGGCGGATATTCGTCAGAAAGGCTACTTTGTTCCCAAATTAGATTGCCAAAGCAAATTTATTAAATGAAGTAGTTATGATGTACATTTTCTCCGCAGGCTCAGCGTTGAAACCATAGTAACCACTTGAAAACAATATGGCGGACGGAGAAGGGGTTGTTTTATGGAATTCTACCGATATTTTCAACATTTTGAACCAGGTTTACAATCATATTCAATAAAACTTTATAGATTACTTAGCTGGATAAATTATCATTGGTTTATTGTAAACTTTTAGTGTCTAAGCCTTTAAATATTGTATAATCGACTGGTAAACATGCGACTGTCTGAAACTATATTTTCAATATTTTGAACTAGATTTTATTAATATAACCGTATTCAGTAAAACTATGTAAATTACTTGTATAGATAAATTGCCGTTAGTTTAGGTAAATGTTTTAGTATTTAAATCTAGATTTCCCTGGCGATAAATTTAAATTATCTAATTGTGTTGGTTTTTCCGTTTTTGTAAAACACTATGTACGTATGTCCGTGTTTATAATTTAGCTACTTATAATTTAGCAGTGGTTCTAATAGTACGCCCGAATCTTCAATTAATACTTCCAGACCTGCCAACTCGCATGGTTTTGTTGTGAGACCACGATTTTTAATGCTTTCTCTTGGCCTCGCGACAAAGTCTTTAAATCTCACGATTTTTTAGGAAATCTGTTCGAACTATATTTATAGGCTTGTAATAGGTAATACAACCCTTGTTTTCAATTTTTTGTAGAAACATTGCACTCAGTGCCCAATGAAATGATCATGACATTGAATTTTGTTCCAAGACTTCCAAAATTAAACACAGTACATTTGAAGAATATGTTTAGCAGAGACATTCATGATTTTAAAAATTCGAGCTAAATAAAGATTCTGAAATCTCGCATTTTTTCCACAAAATCTCACGCCTTTGTAAAGTACAACTCGCGATTTCTGCCTCTCTGGGGCTGACAGGTCTGCACTTCTTTGGGGAACTTGAAAATCAGAATATCTAGGAAAATATAAATAAAAAAGTTGTTGATAACAATTTAATACAAGTGATGTAATATTGTGTTATATGTTTTGTAGACAGATATCAGATATCCAAGACTATGTGATCCTAACTATTTACTCCTGCTCGGTAAGTTTCCTTAAAGACGCACAGTACTGGAAGAATATTTTATGCAGCATTCATATTTTAATTAGCATTCAAATAACTTGGGTCAAACAAACAATTATTGGTTTCAGGTTTCCGAACGACCTGACCTAGTCCAACTTTCCTCTTTTAAAAAACTATGATGCCTGTTAACATTTTGTCTGTTTTAATTGTGTTTATTAATGATAGTTTTAAACCTGACTCTATGTGATGGTCTATACGTTTGCTATATGTTTGCGGCTTTGTGCCATACACAGTACTAAATTTAATATTAGAGAGTTTGAGCAAGACAACGAAGTCTGACGACGACGACGTGTTGACAATTTTTGCCTGTGTTGCACATTACCTTGCGCATTCTGAGTTTAGGGTCAGGAGTAAAGACAGATTAGAGATTCATGTCTAGCTGTTTGTGAATGCTGACCCAAATCCTTACCCTGATCAGGATAAAACAGCGAGATATGAATCCATATCCCGTCTTCGTCTTCTACCTTCGTTCACAACGAATATTTTGGCAAAATTCGTTGTGAACTTCGTTCTGCACGAAGGCAGAAGGACAAAGACGGGATACAGTTTCATGTCTCGCTGTTTTTTTCTGCATCAGGGCAAGAATTATGGTCAGTATTCATAAACAGCGACACATGGGAAGACACGTTGTGCAACCACCAGCGACGTCCAATTCAGTATGCGCGGCAAGATAATGTACAGACGGCAAAACTTGTCAAGTATGCCTTCGTCTTCGTACTTCGTTGTCTTGCTCAAACTCTCTAATATTTATAAAACTACATAGCTATGAAACTGGAAACCAAGTTTTTATTTTTTTCGCCTTCAAATTTTCAATAATAAATTTGTCTGTCTAAAAAGTATTCACCTAACTATTAATTTTTAATTTTTTTTCTATTTTATCCAATAATGAAGATACCAGAAACAGAAAGGACTACAATGAAAGTCATATTTTAACAGCCAAATATGCTCCAAGGGTAAGAAAACATTTATATGACACAGTTATTTATATTGCAATCAAGGCCGGATTTTGGTGGAAAGCTCACGACCCCCATGGAAAGTTAGGGCTTAGAGCGGGCCAAAGTCAACGTGACGTATGCTGACGCATAGATGAATGGCTATCACTGTTTCAATTTTACAGAAAAACTTTCTTACGAAATGCGGACCATAAGCAACCAAAAAATGTCAAATTTCACTTTGATTTATCATTGAAACGTTCCCAAGGGGAGGTGTGTCACTTTCCAGAGGAGATACAAAAATTCTCAGAGGTGATGCAAAACGATCTCAAGGGAGGTGCGGACCTCTCCACACCTCCCCTCAAAATCCGGCCATTATTTTACCACATTTGGGCCGAAAACGGAATACAAAAGTATACAAAATTTGCAAACTTTGAAAGGCTATATTTTCCGCATTTTACAACCAAACTTTGCAATTTTACTCATTTTAGGATTCTAGCTGTGGTGATTTATTTGCATCGCTCATGCCTAGTTTTAAAATTAGTATATCATGGGAATTGTCTATCCCTTTTGCCATCCGCAGCTTTTTAGTATTACGTGAAGTATTTAAGCTACAGAAGTCACTTCTTGACTCTCTCTGGACCTATCAATGTTGCTTTTGAAGGATTTACAATATTTTTAAATCGTTTCAGAATGAAGCTGGATCGTTCCTTGTTCCATATGAAGCAGAACTTCAAACAAAAAGACATTGTATTGTGTACGACAGTCGCACAAACTCACTCAATGAAAAAGGTATTAGGAAACTCTAAGGTTTTCAGAATTATACTGAATAGGTGGCTGTGTTAATAAATTAGGTGCCTGTGAGGAGGAGGCGTTCTTGGGACTGGGAGTCTTAAAGTCATCCAAATTAATTAAAGTATATTTATTATAGATAGCAACACAACTGTGCTCTGTAACCAAATTTGAAAATTCCAAAATGCGTCCATACAGCAATATGATTGTGTAGCTGCGTATATAGTTTTAAAGTGCCCCTAACCTCAATTCCTTTTATCATTTCATTCTTAAGAACTTCTGAATTGATATAATAACTTATTTTGAAGATTTTCGTTTGCTCACTTTGTTTACATACATCTACACGATGGGCTAGTATTCCAAAGGTCGTAGGTTCGAATCCCACCGTGGCCGGGCATATTTTTCAAGCTCGCCCGGTGTGGATATACACTCAGAGTAACACCACAAATATCATTTACACGATATTACAGTTTGTTTGGTATGCAAATATCCGGAATTTAAGTCACAAATTATTTTTATATTTAGCTATGCCAACTAGGGCAGGGTCACCACAACAGCATATGCCAATTAGTGTGGGCTCTTTAACCTAACCCACCCTGTCAACTTTCCCTGTGGGAGGAAACCTGAGTACCCGGAGGAAACCACGACTTTCGGCAGAGCGTTGACTTAAACTCTTCACATGAGGACTGGCTTCGAGTCGCATTGAGAACGTTTTCACCGAGGCTTGAACCTGTGACCTTAGTGGTGAAAGGCAAGTGCTCTAACCACTTCGCCACCGAAGGATGGCGGTGGCGAATGCATAATGACTTTAGTAAAAGCTTGTATACCGTATTCATTATCGAGTTTAATTCATTAAAATGAAGTTTGGAGTTGTGGGAGGATTACATATCTATATGTAAAACACCATTTAGCCTTTCTATTTTATGATATCTGACTGTACCTTACATTCTTTGATCAGTCATTATTCACATGTGACGTAAATTCCGGACATTTGCATATCAATAAAACTGAAATAACTCAGAGACAAAGTGTGCAAACGGAAATCTTCAAAATAAGTTCCAATATCATTGTCCTCACAAGATGAACCTTTTCACCACAGGCAGTCCAGCAGTCACGTGTGCGAGAATGTTATGGGATAATGGCAGTCGAAATCCTGTTATTATCATAAAAGGTAAAAAATGTGAAGAAAAAAAACGTGAGAAACTTCAGCTGAATTTGGAAAGAACAAGTCTTTGTTGGAGAACTATATAATGAGTGTGAAATATAGATTGAGAAATTTTTATAAAGAAACTTTTCAAGCGCTGTTTTTAACTTTCTAATTTAGGTGGTTATGAATTATTCTCGGCACTTTATCCGTTCCTGAGAACTCAGAAAATTATTTACACCCAGCTCGTAAGTCAACAACAACTGCTACAAATGTCAACATTTCTCATGTTTACCACGTACCATCTGCTGCCTTGTCTGAGTCCGTTCCTCAAACATTTCTTACAAATCCTTCAAAACTTAGAATTTACCCACGCAAAGTGTTTCCGATGTTACTCTGAGTTTGTATCCACACCGGGTGGCTGAAAAGTTTGCCTGACCACGCGGTTGGAATCGAACCCGCCACCTTTTGGATACTAATCCAATCAAAACACACACAAAAATATCATGATCATAAGAACACATTGGTATCGAAGGTACTAGACTTAGTTCCGAAATACCACACACTCGAACCGACTTGACCTTGTAGCTCAGTTGGCAGAGCATTGGACTAATATTTCGCGGATTCGATTCCCACCGTGGTCAGGCAAACTTTTTAGAATGCCCGGTGTGGATACACACTTAGAGTAACATCAGAAAAATTATACTCACCTGAATACATAACATCAAAACACACACAAGAAATATCATTACCTGCGCAAAATTCCTACTGTGATCACAGAAACTTTGATGGTGTATAAACCTAAGTCTTAACTCTTACAGAAATCCACCAATATTTGAGTTTCTTGTTCCATTGTTTAGGAACTTGATTCTTGTGAACCATACCCGGTAGAAATCATTCCAGGTCTTCTCTATAGCGGCACATTGGAACAAGGAAAAAATCCCGCTATAAACAAAGCCTTGAAATGCAAAGCGCATGTGAACGTCAGTTGTCGTCAGGATGTATTGTAAGTTTGCACAATAAAAGGCTGCCGTAGTTTGTGACTGAAGTACGCACGTAGAAACGCACAAGTTGTAACAAACCTGCAGCAGACTTGTAGCAATGCTGTTCCAACAACTTGTCAACAGGATGTGTTTGCACTGCTTGTTCCCAGCTTGTTGACAAGTTGTCAAAGGCTTGTTGGCAACTTGCTACAATGTTGTTGAGCTCAACAGACTTGTTACAAGTTGTTCCAACAACTTCTTGTTGTCGTCCTGCAATTCAACAATTTGTCAACAAGTTGTGAGTGACAACCTTGTAGCAACGTGATAAAATAACAGCATTGTTACAAGTTGTTGACAAGCATGCTACAGGCCTGTTGCGAACACATCTTGTTGACAAGTTGTGAGATTTTTACATGTATAAATGGAAAAGCCTTGGCGTTTCGTTACTAGGTTAGTGACCAAATACCTTCTGACAACCTTAGCTTGACTAGAAACTCGAAGTGGCTTAAATATTCTTTTTCACGCGTAAAATCTCACATCTTGTAACAAGTCTGCTAACAAACCGTCGACAAGTTGTGTTCGCACTGCTTGTCCCAAGCTGTGAACAATTTTGGAACAAGCTGTTAAAAACTTGTAACAACCTTGTTGATATTATCAGATTTGTTGCAAGGTTGTTCCAACAAGTCCGATACAGTCATGATATAACAATATTGTTACGACCTTGTGTCGTCAACCTTGTAACATTCTTGTTATATCATGACTGTATCAGACTTGTTAGAACAGCCTTGTGCAAACACAACTTGTCGACAGCTTGTGAACAAATTTGTAACAACTTGTTTGCAGACTTGTAACAACTTGCGTTTTTTACGTGTGTAGTTCAGGCACAACCACGACAGCTTATTGTATAGAATACTACTTACACACGTAAAAACATACAAGTTGTTACAAGTCTGCAAACAAGTTGTTACAAATCTGTTCACAAGCTGTCAGCAAGTTGTCTTCGCACTGCTTGTTCCCAATTGTTGTAACAAGTTTGGAACAAGCTGTTAACAACTTGTAACAAGCTTGATGGCATTATCACACTTATTATAAGGTTGTTCTAACAAGTCTGATACAGGCATGATATAACAAGAATGTTACAAGGTTGACAATACAAGGTTGTAACAATATTGTTATATATATCATGACTGTATCGGACTTGTTGGAACAACCTTGCAACAAGTCTGGTAATATCATCAAGCTTGTTACAAGATGTTAACAGCTTGTTCCAAACTTGTTGACAACTTGGGACAAGCAGTGCGAAGACAACTTGTTGACGGCTTGTTGGCAGACTTGCTACTTGGCAGATTTTTGCGTGTGTACATTGGACCTCACGTTTGATAGATCTTTTCAGATATCGTATTTGTTTTTAGTTGCAAAGATGAAAACCCACTGTTTCAAAACAAGATTTTTAATATTCCTGTTGAAGATTCAAGCGATGCTGACGTCCATTCTTATTTTAAAAATGTTGTCGAGTTTATTGGTGAGAAAATGTCAGACATGATTTGTTCCAAAACCTTGTATACTACCGATGGATGGTAGTATAAGCCGGGCCATTAATAGCAAATAAGAGCAACAGTACAAAGTCAATCTTTTCATGTTAAAATATTAAAGTTAACACAATTTCTTTTTACCCAGATGAATCCAGTCAACCTGGCCAGTCAGTGTTGGTTTGCTCCGAGCTGAATTTGAGCCGTAGTATCACTGTTGTTATCGCGTATCTTATGTGGAAGAAACATTGGACATTAGAAGTAAGACGGTATACTGCAGGATCGTGTAGATTGTGACTACTGTGACTGTCCATTGTTCTCTCTAGAGCTTCAGTCATTTATTTCTTCTTTCTTCTTAGACATCCAGTAAGGATAATTTTTATTGGTCCAGTGCTACCAGAGTAGCGCCAGGAATTTCTCGATGGGCTTAGGTCCCCAACGGTGACCTGTGTCCCCCACTCCACTTCCTTTCCTCCACCCTTGATTATAACTTGAAAAACCTTAGCTAAAGTAACTTTATTTATTCCTGAGAGTTCTATCAGTTTAAAACTGTTCTCCCAAGTCAGTTCCCCATATTGCTCCGGTTTTCCTACAGAAGGAAACCTAAATTAAACTAAGTTTATTTATATTTTTAATTGCTCTATCGGTTCTGAAATGTTCTCCCTAGAAGTCCAGTAAGGATCATCTTTTATTGATCCAGTGTTACTACAGGAGGAAACCTAACTAAACTAACTTTATACTGGATAGCTCTATCATTTTTAAACTGTTCTTCCTAGAGGTCCAGTAGGGATCATCTCTTATTGATCCAGTGTTACTACAGGAGGAAACCTAAACTAAACTAATTTTATTTATATTTGATAACTCTATCAGTTTTGAACTGCTCTTCCAAGAGGTCCAGTAACAGCTTCACGTATTGTTCCAGTGTTACTACAGGAGGAAACGGGAGTACCAAACGGTGACCTACTGCGCTTGGTAAAGTGCTTGAACTAACTGTAAACTTAGTTTCTTTCTATTTGAATTAATCTAGAAGGCGTACACACACGTGAAGAAATGTAGAAACAACATGCAACCAAACCGATCATTCATTGAGCAATTGTCAAAATGGGAAGACTGTCTTTATGGCCATATTGTGACAGATATCAGTGAACCTAATTACTGAACGACTTTAACTAACTTTATGTTTTGTAGATATTTACGTTATATGTGCATATTTGAATAGAAAAACTGTACATTTGTAAAGTTTCAATCACGGGAGAATCTGCACAATGTTTTCATCTGCGGATGTTCATGTTTAGATGCAAACAACGGCCCGTGCGCTATTGTGCCTATTTTTTCATCGTGCATTGCTCGCGCGAAACTCGCGTGGTTGTCTCGATATTCGTGATCAGTCTTCCGCCATCTTTGTTTAAAATTGTTGCAACAGTTTGTTAGTTTCACTTGAAAAACCGAGATGTTTCGTGGCTCACAAGTTTGCTTCCTTGCCCTCCGTGGAGCTGCAAAAACCACGAGAGCATTCTCAGTATCTGGTCAGGTAAGAAGGGAAAAAACGTCTATCTAAGTGGGTTAAATTCAAGATTAATTTAGTGGTATATTTTGACCGGTACATCTATATAGTATTTGTACAGTACATGTGTGTTTCTGTTACTGTCTATTGCTTACGTGTTTAGAGCAGTAAAGTATAAGTATTTATAAATATTAACACAAATATTTACGAGCATTTTTGCTATATTTTCACAAGAAATAGTCATTTTACAAAAGTCCAAAATACAAAAGTGTTGCAAATGAAGAGGTCAAATCGACTCAAATGGCTATGTAGACTTGCTCCAAGTCTCTCTTTGTGGAGACCCACTATATTGTACGTTACATGACGTACCGCTGAGGGGGAGAGGAGGAAAGAGAAGAGAGACTTGTACACGGGTAAAAATTGATCAGGTTGTTCAAACAGTAGCGAACAATGTTGTGCTGCACCCCGTGAACAATATTGTTAACAAGTTGCTCCGAGTTGTTCAATCATCAATATTGTTGCAAGTTGATAACATGATTGTCAACAAGTTGCAACAACGTTGATGGTTCAACAACATTGTTAACAATATTGTTCACGGGGTGCAGCACAACATTGTTCGCTCCTGTTGTGAACAACTTGCATCAACATGATGATTTTTACGCGTGTAACATCTGGCAAGCAGACATACTTCCGGCTGGTCAATTTCGACCAGCCGGAAGTAGATGGCAGCATTGACTTATCACGTGTTTAGGGGGGGAAGGCGACATTTCAG